ATTATTATTATTATTATTATTATTATTCCCAGATGAGGCACAAAAAGCACAAGGTGTTTTTAAACCAGCTCTGCTGCCAAAGTGGTATTAAGAGAGACTTCTGCCCAAATTTCTAGCAAGCTGCTGTCCTGATGGGCTCACTGGACAGCTGTGGTCACATGAAGGTGTTTCTGCCAACATTTCACAGAACCATGGAGAGCAGAAACAGAGTTAGGAAGTTCTGGAAGTCTTAGTTTGTATTTCAGAGGTAGGGGAAAGTTACTTCTTTTCCCTTGTCTCTTTCAGGCAAGCAGAAAAATTGTTCTAAAAGTAGGAAACCAGGAACGATTATCACGAATTTTAAGGAAGATACATGACTTCTGTATCGGATGCCTGAAATTCCTCCTCCCAGACCAAGGTGGCATTTTTTATTCTTAGAGGGACAAAGGGAGAAGTGAGAGGAGTCACTCATGTATGAAGAGGTCAGCAAAAGATGGGAGACTCAGCAGTCACGTTTGAACACCTACGGCAAGAATTAATATTTAATTTTACTTCAGTGTTCCCACAGTGCTCCTGTGGTTAGAGAAAGTGCCATTGGGATGAAAAAAGCATTTCATCTTTAAAGAGAGTTTGACATCTTTTAATCTTTAATCCTCATCAGACCTCATTAGTTATTTGATCAACTAGGAAACTGAGTTGCACCAAAGAAAACTGGAAAAAAACACGTTAAAAATTGTTAAGGGCTGCTAAACCAGATGTGCCTTACAAAGGAAAGCAAACCTTTTGGGAAGTTTGTGGAGGGTGCGTTCCTTGTTATAAACTGGCTGTTGACCCACATTTTAACAATATAAATTTGTGATCAAATGTTTTTGGCTATGCCGTGTGAAGGAGATTTGTTCTACTCAGAGAACTTGGCTTTAGCTCATAGGATTTTGAGCAAGTTTTCTTTGAAAGTGGTTCAGAGTGTGTGTGGAGTGGGGAAGGGAAGAAGAAATGGATTTTTTTTTGTGATAGGCACCAGAAAAAGTCTTGCTAGTACTTTTCCCTTCCCCATTCCTGAGGACGTCAGACCCAGAGGAGTGTGATGTGTGCACAAGGCTGATTTATCAACGCAGCTACGCAATTACATCTTTTTGCCCCATCTCCCAGCATGCTTGGATCTTGCCCTGTGAGCATCGGAGTGGGAAGCTTTTACAGAAGTGTTTTGTTGGACTCCCTTATACAAAAGTGTTTCAGGAACAGAGTGTTCAAAACTCAATCCCTATGCATGCTACTGGTTTGTACCCAGAAGTCAAGTGAGGTCAATAACTAAACAAGCTGCATTATTCACTGCAGCAGCAATCTCATCTTTAGGAACAGCTCAAGCTCTTTTCTTCATCCTCACATTAACATTAACCTCCTGAGGCTGGACTTTTTTAGTATCTTTTTCTCTCGTTTTTCTTGTGTTTCTCAGCAGATAATTTTCAGGTGGATGTGATTCAATGAAACAAATAAAGTAAAATTCTTCCTGGGATGAAAGCAAAATTTAGGGTGAGGTTTACCTGTGGGGAACACTCCAGCTGTATCATAACATGTTTCCAGAGGTACAGTGTCTCTTTCTTCCCTGTGATAATTCCAGTAACGTAACACAGAATTACAATTCAAGATAAATAATAACAGTGAACTCAAAGTTCATGAAAGGTTTGGGATCTATAACCAAAGACAGTGGCCTCACGTTTATCCATTAAAAAGATACAGACTGGTGAAAGTTAAGAAAATTCACTAATGTGCGGCTCCTGCAAGATAAAACCAGGCAAAACAATTGTTCTTTGTATCATTTATGCCTTCTATGCTAATTATCTTACCCATGTCTCTGATGCCATGTGCATTACAAAAGTTGTTTTCTCCTCTTGTTTTCAGGTAATGATAGGTGAGGACTTCAGCTCCCTGGCGAATACGCTGCAATAAAAGATCCAGAACTAAGAAAGGAAGCGCTGAAATGGACAATATGGCAGACAGAAGTGAAAGAATGCAGATGAAAAAAAAAATCACGTTACTAAATGGAGTTTCTTTAATTGTAGGGAACATGATTGGCTCTGGGATATTTGTATCACCCATAGGTGTTTTAATGTACAGTGCTTCCTATGGACTCTCTCTCGTCATCTGGGCACTCGCTGGGATATTCTCGCTGTTCGGAGCTTTGTGTTACGCTGAACTGGGAACATCCATCATTAAATCTGGAGGCAGTTATACCTATATCCTGGAAACATTTGGTGCTTTTGTGGCCTTCATCAGTCTGTGGTGTTCCTTGCTAATTATCGAACCAACAACTCAGGCGGTGATAGCAATCACATTTGCTAACTACATCGTTCAACCAATTTTTCCTGATTGTGATCCACCGTATGATGCAGTCAGGTTGATTGCAGCTGCTTGTATTTGTAAGTAAAGTTATGATTCCTAAGAGTTAAGAACTATAATTGTAAGTGCTCTTAGAGATTTTTCTCAATTTCTATTCCTTCGTCTTCTGTGAAAATATTATTATCTCTCTCTCGATCTGCTCGAGGGTAGGGAGGCCCTTCA